ATGTCTGTTATTCCTTTTGAGTGATTTTCATCACTGATCAACATGGGAGGTTTCTTTATGGCCCTGATTCAGGCTTAGGTTTTAATATCATATTTTTTTATTATGCTATTATATTTAATTTTGCCATTATATTATTACATTTTGGTTTCTGTTCTGTTTTTGATAGTTTTTACTTATTTGGCTCTCTTTTTATTGTAGTCTTCAGTGTATTCATCTCATCTTTCATCTTCAGTTTTGTGGGATTTTTTAGATTTTTTTTTCCTCTGATGCTTACTGCAGATAGTTTAAATGACTAAACATTTTACTTGTATTAATAATTATCTATACTTAGTGTATTATTGGCAAAACATTTTTATCTTTTTCTCTCCTCACGATGCAGGTCAAAAACTAACTTAACAAAACAAAAGATGCCACCCTTTCCTTTCTCTTGGTTTTCATGACTGTTTTGTCTCTGTGAGTTGGAGCCCGAAGTATGAGCAGCTTCCTAGTTACCTTGTGGTGTCGCAAGGTTTTACAAGAAGTGCGAGCAGTGCCAAGACAGCGGCCCTGCTTTCTGCTCACTTTGCCCAGACGTGTAGACTTCACTGGGAAGTTACTGTCAGCCTCTTCCTGGACTTAGGAGCGACGGTGTGCTGACTGTTAGCCAAAACGTCTGAGCTGCCATTCACTGACAGTGGTTCCGTCCTGCAGGGCGCCGTCTGTGAACCTGAGGATTGGTTTCCACAGGGTTTGGTTTCCTCAGGCTTTGACTTAGATCTCTTTGCTACTTCCTCTATTCACAAAGTTTTCAGCTAATTGTTTCTTGTCAGTAATACATTTGATCATGCATAGTAGAGTTGATCCTTTTTTAGTTATGAAAATTTAAACTATGCTGAAAAATATATATAATATATTCCTTTCATATATATACCATATATACTTTTATAGTCTATAGAATGTAGTTTAAAAATCTTCTGCCTACTACTGAGCTTTAACAAACCTGACACTTTACGGTGGTCCCTGCAGCACCGCAGGCTCCGCTTCTGCTGACTTGGTGCAGGGTGGGTACGGCGGGCAGGGTTGTCTTAGGGCTGCCTTGGGGTTATGAATGTGTGGTGTTTCCAGTTGCAGCTGCTCCAGCTCCCAGGGAGAGAGAGACAGGACGTGAAAACAAAATAATGAAAAAATCCTCATACCCAGGGAACTCACCACTGGATAATCCCGTAAGTTCCAAGATTATTGCCTTTTACCTTTTAGGACGTTGTTCTAAAATTTCTCCCACCTCATCAACTTTTCCTTTTCTACGAAATTATTATTATTTAAAAAAATTTATTTATTGATTTTTTAAAGATTTTAGATTTTTTAAAATTGATTTTTAAGAGAGAGAGGAAGGGAGAGGGAGAGAGAGAGAAACACCATTCTGCTCCCTCCTACATTCCCCCTACTGGGGATCCAGCCTGCAACTCAGGCATGTGCCCTGACCAGGGATCAAACTAGCACCCTTTTGGTGCCCAGCCAACTGAGCCACACTGGCCAAGGCTTATTTACTGATTTTTAGAGAGAAAGGGAGAGAAGGGGGAAGAAAGGAAGAGAGAAGGGGAAGGGGAAGGAGAGAGAGAGAAGAAACATCAATTTGTTGTTCTACTTATTTATGTATTCATGGGTTGCCTCTTTTATGTACCTCTGACCAGGGATCAAACCCGCAACCTTGTGGTGTTGGGACCATACGCTAACCAACTGAGCGACCTGGCCAGGGCCTCATTTCTTGTTTATGCTAATCAGTATAAAAGCATGCTACTTCTGCCCGTTTAAAAACAAGCTTCTCACCTCTCGATCACACTCCTCCTGCTTTTTCATTTCTGTGCATTTATTGATAATGCAAGTTATTTGAGTTGATTTACACTCAGAGTCCCCTTTTACACCATAATAATAAAGTTGCTCATTAAAGCAGTATAAAAACTTAATTTCAAAATATGTCCATTTGTATAAACTTCACATAATTTAAATTTTAATGTTTTATGTTCTGTACCCTATTTAGCGGAGAACTACAGAGTTCATTTGAGCAATAAGGTACATGTTTTAAGCGCCAAGTAATTCATTATTTATTTGTAACACCCCTAAAAATATATGAGTGTGATTTTTAAATCAAGGGGAGAAATGTATCATCTCCTGTTTAAGTATGAAATTGTGCAGTCGGCTTCCGGAAGACTTTTTTGCAAACTAAAGGAAGCGTTTTGTGTAGGAGTCTAAACTTTCTTCAGTTAATAATAATTCACATTCGCCCTGGCCGGTTTGGCTCAGCGGTTAGAGCGTCGACCTGCGGTCCGGAGAGACCCGGGTTCGGTTCCCGCTAAGGGCACGTACTTCGGTTGCAGTTTGTCCCCGGCCCTGGTCGGTCGTGTGGGTGGCAGCCACTCGATGTGTCCCTTTCACGTCGATGTTTCTCTCTCTCTCTCCCTTCCTCTCTCTCCCTCCCACTCTATCTGTACAAAAATTGCAAAAATGTCCTCGGGTGAGGATAAAAAAAAATAATAATAATAATAATAATAATAATTCACATTCACTGAGGGGTATTCTTATTAGTCACTTGACTTGAGTAATACCCCACTAATTTTGTCTCGGTCAGGCTTATTTTTTGCAGCCCGGCTGACATTCGGATTGCTCATTGCCGTGCGTGATACACGTCGCGCTGTCCTGTACTTCACCTGTACTGAGTAAACAGAGGAATCGGGTCTGAGGCCTCCTCAGGAATTTGGTGGAACATGATTGTGACAGACGGGTGTAGCCCCCGAAAGGCCGGGGCACTGCAGCTTTGTCCCGAGCTGCTCAGGTGTCCCAAGTCACCCAGACCCTCCCTCCTAAAGGGTGTCTGCTCCTGCTGCTGCTTAATGTTTAGTTTCAAGCTGGAAAATGTAAAGCCAATTATGCAGACACATTCTTGAAAGTAGCTTCGAAGTGTTGAGTTTCTCCTAGTGGTGTTTTTCCTTCACTCTGAGTGGATGTTACGTCTCCTCAGTATTGCATCCCTACTTCTGACCCCATCAGCTGCAGTTGACTGGTGATCCCTCCTCTCCTCCTGCAACATCAGGTTTACCTGGCCCCGTGCCATTAAGTACTGGTTTTCTTCCCGTCTCATCCTCGGCCCTTTGCGGCTGCTCCTGGCCCCGCCTGAGGATCTGAGAGGCGCACAGTGGTGTCCAGGGCTCACCCCTCGGACCTCTTCTCTGTCCACAGCTGGTGATTTCTCAGCTGCAGGGCTTTAAATCCCATCCCACATGCTGATGGTTTCCAAATTGGTATCTGACAGCCATGCCCTTGAATTCTATTCAACATATCACTTGCATATTCTTAAACTTAACACCCTTAAAACTGAGCTCCTAATTATTCCCCAGCTCCCAACAAATAAAACCTCCTCTTCTTATCCATCTCAGCAAATGCTGATGTTGTGCTTGGTCTTGGGTCAAAAAAACAAAACAAAACAAAACAAAAGAAATGATACTATTCGCTGTTTCAAATGCTCCATCCATTTATCCAGCGAATCCTGTTTGTGGTACTTCCAAATGCCTTCCGTGGTCTGACCTCTCCTGACCTCTGCTGCGGCACCCTCGCCTCCGCCACCTCTCGCCCCAACTTGCCACAACCTCTTTCAAAGAACCGTAGTTAAGGCTTGTTCTTCCTTTGAGGTTTTGTACTTGTTTCCTCTGCCTGGGTTACATTTTCTCTACTAAACTCTGTGGTTTATTCTTGTACTATCTTTGATTTTCAAATGCTCCTTCTCAAAATGGCAAGCATGCTTCTCCCCGGACAACAGTTTCTCTCCTTTTCACCGACTGGCCATTACCAAAACACTTACCGTCCTCCGTTATGTACTTAAATTGCACATTACTTTTTGATGTCCATTCAATGGCATATGAGTAGCACGAGGACAGAAATTTTTATCTTTTATTGTTTTATCTCCAGTGCCTAGAACAATACTGGCTCATTGAATTTCCCTCTGTGTTTTCTTGCATTCAGATGAAAATAGGAAATATGACCTATTGTATAATTCTCATTTTCACAGACAGGGATGCCTATACATTCTTATCAAAACAAGTGTTGCCTTACATTTAATTATGTAAGAAATACATGGGATGGATCTTGTGAAGTATATCGTAAATAACATAAAGAATGACACCTTAGTTATTTTAACAATTATATTAGTGATTTTATTCCTATCTTTACTTTTTATTTTAACAGAATATAACGTGAAAAGTATGTATCCACAAATAGAAGTCATCTCTTTAAAATAACTTGAAATACTTTTTTATAGAGGTGGCAGTTTCCATTCTGAGTAATGCTTCACCCTTGTATAACATGTGAAGCCACCCTCGACATGTAACATTCAACTGCTTCACCTTGGCTTCAGCATCTCACGGACAACACTGAAAACTGTGTACACCAAATTCTTTATTTTCAGTTGTCAATGGGAGTCATTTCTGTAGAGTAATGTTTACCACAGAGTCATTTTAAGATTGCTAAAAGTAAAAATTATCACAATAATAACGGAACAAGTAAATTCATTATAGTATATAATGAACTATTATTTAGCTATTAAAGTTTGTGTTTCCAAAGAATTTTGATTTTATTACAGATATCAAAATGTCTATCATTCTATTTATAAAATTCTAACTAGAATAACATGTATCAAAATGTTTTGTGTCTTTCTCTAGTTACAGGATTATGGATGACTGTTCAAAAAAAAAATTTTACTTTTATGTAGCTTTCAGAATGCCTACAGTTTTGTAGAATTTTTATGACAACAGAGATAATAAATATGATTGTTAAAGAACTAGGACTTTTTTCTTATCTATATTTTGCTTTTTGTTGCTTAGTGACAATGATTTATAATTTGCTAGTCTTGCATAGCCACTAATAATTAATGATAATCATTTTCAATACTAATAGGCAATATGTGTTCAGCTAATTTTGTTTATCAAGTAGTTTTTAAAACTCCCTGTCGGGATTGTATCTTTTCCCCACAGACAGTCTTCTGATTGACTATCAGTTTACCTTCAGCTTATTGCAGGAGGACGATCGCCACCACACGGCCATAAACTTCATAGCAAACCCAGAACAGGTGAGAAGATGATTTAGCTTTTGTAAAACAACTATGTTTATAGCAAGGGGGGTGAGTTTTTCATTGTCTTTGCATCTTTACCGCTTGGAATGATCATACTAGAGGAGTTTTGTAGAAAGAGTAATCCTGTTAAAATTTTCACTTCATAAAGCTTAGGTTTCCTTGTGATTCAGAGAATTTGGGAGTTTGATATTTCAGACGTTGCAAAGAGTTTCACAGAGTGTTCGTGTTTGTAATTGTGCTCACGCTGGGAGGAGTCTTATTTGGAAATAGGACCCTTACATTCAAAGCATGCTTTGTTAAATATAGTTTCTTATTCTTATACACTGTTACATAGTAGTAGATTTTCATTGTCTTTTTTCCTAAATGTACTGGTTTATCTGATTTATATGAATGCTGGCTTGAGTTTTCTTAATTATTGTCATCGAAATCTAGATGACATACTAGATTGTGTAAGCTTAAATTGTACAACATGCTGATTTGATACATTTATATATTTCCATATGATTACCACCATTGCATCTATATAGCTAACACTTCTATGGTATCACATAATTATCATGGCTTTTTTATGGTGGGAATAATGAAAAGGAAGCCTGTCAACAGTTTGGAAGTTTACAATACAATACTGTTGTCTATAATCACTGCACTGTGCATTAGATCTCTAGGATTTATCTGTCTACTGGATGGAGGTTTATACCCTAACTCGACATCTTCCCAGCTTCCTCAACTCCCAGCCCATGGTAGCGACCATTCTACTCTGTTCTGTCAAATGTGGCTTTTTAGATTCCACAGATAAATTAAGATCATCCAGCATTTCTCTTTCTTTGAGATACCTCACTTCCCCTAAGGGATTCTAGCTTCTCTAACCACCTCACTGCATCCGTGATGGGGCTGAGGTCTCCGGGCTTGAGCCTTCTCTCAGTCTTGCAGAGCTACCCTGGCCTCAGTGAACCGTCTGCCTCTTTCCCTAGGGTAGTGCCCTGGAAGGCCGGGATGTCGGTGGCCCATTGCACTCTCTTCCCCCCTCCTTCCTCTGAGAGAAGCTCTGGGGTCCTGTGCCTTCTCTGCATCTCACACGCCCTGTTGGCCGTAGTGAGCTGCACACCCTGTTGCCCGTGGGCTGTCTACAGAACATCTAAGGTGTTGGATGCAGGCTCCACTCCTCTCCCTCCCTCTTTGGGGACAAGTCTCAGGGTTGTGCACCTTCTCCCCGTCATGCCGAGTAATGTCGTCTGCACGAAGCCACCCACTTGTTTTCTTGGTTCTTAGCTGCCATCAGAGGTCCACACCCTGCTTCTCATCTCAGAGTTCTGGGCAAGGGGAGACAGGAACAGGTCCTTTGGGTTGTGCCATGAAAGGCCAAGGATGTTGGATGTATGGCACATCCTCTTTTTCCCCTGATGGGAAAGTATATGCTGCAGTGATGACTCTGAGGCTGAGCCTGGGAGGGGCCTAGGTGGGTAAAGTGACATTGCTCTTCTTACCCGTTAAAATGTGGCCGATCTGGGTTCGTATTCATCTTGGGTACGGCAACCTCTCAACTGGATGATTTTGAGCGCTCGGAATGGTATTTGAGTCCGAGTGTTAAATGGGTGTTTTGTGGGGGATGAGGCTTCAACTTCTTATCCTGGCGTCTTACTGATGTACTCTCTCTGTATCTTGTGTATTCTTACTATATATTGATCCATCTTCGTAAACACATATCGTGTATTTTAATCATTTTTCAAATAGGTGGAACCTCAAAATATTTTCTGATGTTTGCTAACTTCTTTCCTCTAAAACAGTTTATAGGACTTGTCAACAAATACAATTTTTTAAGTTTTCCTTTTTTAGTAAAATAGGATCTTTCTTTCCAAAAAAAAGAATAGTTCATTTTATGTGAGTCCTTATTCTTTAGATTTTAAGGAATGTTTATATTATTGGGAATATATTTAAAGTTTTGACTTTTAAATAAGGAATTTTAAAGATGTTTCTTCCAAGTACAATCTCTCTTCACTGATGCTAATATTAATATTAATAATATGTCAGAAACTACATTTATCAGTGTGATAAGAAAGTTTTTATAAGTGCATTGTAATCATCACTTCTCTGTTATGGCAATATGTGCAGAAAATAAAACTGATCATCCTAATCATTTGAAAGTGTAAGATTGGTGGCATTAAGTACGTTTACAGTGTTGTGCAAACATCGTCACTATCACCAAAATTTTTCATCATTTCAAACAGAATCCCTGTATCCATTAGGTGGTAACTCACCAGTCCTCCCTCCAGCCCCTGGTACCTTTATTTCACTTTTGGTCTCCAGAATTAGTGTGTTCTAGGTATATGTATGATCATGCGATATTTGTCTTTTGTGTCTGGCTGATTTCACTTAGCCTAATGTTTCCCAAGTTGAGCCATGTTTTGGCATGTATGAGAATCTCATTCTTTATCATTGGCTTCTGGAATGTTTAACAGTGATTCTAAACTTGTTGAGATCTTTGAGCATATAAAAAATTTAATGTAAGTGGGACATCTAACTCAAAATGTAGGCAGGTATAATAATCATTTTTCAGTATGATCCATAGCATTCAGCACACAGGTCCAGACCAGCTGTCACTGTGGTTCGCTTCTCTCTTGACTGTCTTCTCCTCCTTCAGTCTCCAGCAATTTGTGAGTGCTTCCAAATGTCCCAGGATTCAGCTTTCTCACCACCGTCTTGTCCAGTTGAAGTCAGCAGCCTAGACACACGTTCTTTGAAAGGATGCCAAACTATCATGAGAGGGGCCACAAAGAATGCTTATAGCACTATTATATATAATTTATAATTACATAATTATCATTTGTTGTTCAAGAGTTATCAGTTTGGATCAACCTGTGATGTTATTGTGAATTATTGATCAGGACTTCCTACTTATCCTACAAAAATAAATAATAAAAAATAGATGCCTTAATTATTTCTGCCTTTGGTACATTTAGACAATACGTCTAATTTTAGCTCAGTATGTGTGACTTCTAGCCAAGGCTTCCGTGCCGACGACTTCTGGAGCGATTGCCTATGTCACATGATCTTCCCTAATGTATCCAGGTCTAACCAGCGACGTTCTAAATGACGGCCCTTGTCATTTACTGTGGTAATCACTGTATCACTTCATTCAGTCCAGCATTTTTGTCTCTTGACCTTAAAATGCATTTTATAGGGCTTTGGTTATGGTGCATATATTTCAGTAACGCCTAAACTTGGAATTGATAGAGGATGAGCTAAAAATTTAAGAAGAGTTTTATAGTTTTCTATATCAATTAGAATTTTTTGTGTGACCATTTTGGTAACAAGAGCAGTTATTCTTATATTTCCCTCCCCAAAAACAGTTACGAAGATGGGACTTCAAGATAAAATAATGACTTAAGCTTTCTGAGGAGTCCACTGTTTCTACCATGTTTGAATCAGTGCCAACTGTTTTTACTCATATTATCAAAGAAGTAGCAGGGTTTCAAGAAGTTGGGCAGTTTTGTGGAACATACTGTGGAAGGTCTCTTCACAGTTTATCGGTAGACCTTGATGAGTTAACTTCCTTCTTACCTTCATGGCCATTTATGAGGATGACTCTGGTGGATAAGGCAGTATCTTTCCGAAATACTCTCTATATTTAAACGTCCAGGCTCTATTTTTCTTAGAGTAGTTTGCATTCCCAGATGCATTCTCTAGCATTAATGAACACTACCCTGAAAAACCTGTGTGACAATCATCCAACATATTGTCATACATATAATTTTGCATGATCTTTGCAGATGACCATTCTTCTTGAATCTATATTTTCGTCCTGGAAACTATAGATAGAATGTCATCTGATAGTTATGGAATATTATTAACATTTCTTCATGGAGGCTAAGCTATCCCTCTGTCCATCCCTCTGTAGATGTTATTTTGAGGTAAAAAAAAAAATAGGATCTTAGTGTATCTTTTAAAAGGGATGACTGTGACACATCATCAGCAGCCTTTGCCTTTTATGGTGCTCCTCCTTCCTACGCCTACCCATCAAGAGAGGACCTCAGACATCTGTCAGTTTCTCCTTACAGCTGTTATGTCAGATATGGGGAGCTTAACTGCTTATCCACTAAGAGTCACTCAGAAAACTGGGGATGTATATTCTATTGGCTTACCTGTTTTATTTAATTTAGAAAAAAGTAATAATACTAAGGATGTGATTTATAGATTTCTAGTAGCCAGGTCTCACCTAGCAGTCAGTGCAACTTTTTGTATAAGTCTTTGCATATTTAACACGCAGCACAACACACTCTATATCTGAAGCTAAACTTATTCAATACAACAATTATTCTCTGCGCCTATGCAGAACTAAATAATTATAATCATATGTACTTTCTGTTCCTTGTCTCTTGTAGTAAGATAATAACAAATAACATATAAAGAAATTTTTTAAGCATTTGCTTTCTTCAAATTAAATGAAAGGGGTCTGTCGTCTACTAGTGAATGACAGAAAGGAGACAGGTTGACTGACAAGTTCTTCATTGTTTCTCTGTACAGATGTTTAAATGATGTGATCTTGTTTTTTTCCAAGTAGGTTCATCATTTTTACCTGAAATTTTTAGTTGACATAATTTAAGTATTTTTTATTTAGACAATGTGTGTATAATAATACAATATGCATCTAACAAGAAGCCTTTCAACAGAATAATATATTGCTGTGAAATTTTTGAATGAATCCAAACATGTATCATTTAAATGTGAACCACAGATAAGTAAAGATAATTAAAATGCAAATATTGAATTACAGCAGCCTCTGGCTAGATTTTAGTAGAGAAGAAAAATGGGAACCTTCAGTCTACCTTTGAATCTATTACCTATATGTATATTTTAAAAGAGTATAATTGGCATCTACACTTAGTTGAATATTGTCACAATGTATAGAATTTGAGAAATGTAGCCTGGACATAATTAAAACATTGAATGTATATATCTAATATCTGATTTTTTAACCTTAATATTTTCTTTTTTGGTAGTCAAACAAAAATTTGGATATTTCGATTAATGCATCAAACAACTTTAATCTCAACATTACATGGTCAGTTGGTTCAACAGGTAAGAGAATTTTGTTGACATGTGTCTTTCACATCAGCTTCTATGTGGAAGGTGTTCAAACATGACCTTTTACTATCAATTTAAATAATTGAAATTAAAATAATAATATATGCCTAATCATTGTGCATTTCAGGTAAAAATAGTAAGTAGCATTATTAATAAAGCTCCATTACTTTGTTAACATTCTCCCTTATTCAATTAAAATTAGATGAGGAACAAATACTGTACATGACTTAATTTTTTAAAAGTGGTAGTGTCATGAACGTCTATGATTTTAATTAAGATAGATTACTTTTTAATGACTAAAGAGACTGAGATTGCAATTATTTGACTTACTATTGAAACAGTAAATTTAATTATTAACCTTAAATTGATATAAAACAATGAAATTCTCTGGTGAATACTGATGAATTAAAAATGTATTTATTACTTTCAAATATAGAAATCTATCCTCCTATCCAAACCCTTGTCAGCTTCTGTGCAGAGAGAGGGTTAAAAGCAAAACCTACACTTAATATAGCTGCCATAATAAGGTTTATAAGTAAAATTGCTGACTTCTAAAAAATGTAACTAAAAAGTACAAATCTATATGTTGGATTATGAAAAAGTATGCTAACTTTTAAATATATTTATATCTTAGAAAATGCTATTGCCTTTTATTTTCTATATCAAAGATATACTGTTACATAAAAGTACTGGAAACTTTTTTTAAAGAACGTATTCCATTTTTGATTTCAGAAAATTAAGTAATGATGCTATTTAAATATGTAAGATCATAGAAACAGAATCAAGAGTGATTAGGTCTTTAGCATTCCAGAACCTATAATACATGTGTAAAACATGAGACATTCAAGCAAACATATAGATTTTTTTTTTTTCCCTCACCCGAGGACATTTTTCCATTTTTTGTTCAGGTAGAGTGGGAGGGAGAGAGAGGAACATCGATGTGAAAGGGACACATCAAGCGGCTGCCACCCGCACAACCGACCTGGGCCGGGGACAAACTGCAACCGAGATACGCGCCCTTAGCGGGAACCGAACCCGGGTCTCTCAGGACCGCAGGCCGACGCTCTAACCGCTGAGCCAAACCGGCCAGGGCATATATAGACTTTTTTTTTACATTAGTGCAAACATATAGTACAATCTTGGTACCATGAGTTTTATTAATTAGTAATTTATGGTGACTTGTACTGTTAATTTGAAGTTAGTTCTGTGTAGTAAACTAGCTCTGCAAAAATGTTAAGACTTGCCAATAAAAATATATAAAACTCTGTAGTCACTTTAGAACACCAATTTTAGTGTCCAAGAAATTACTTGTAACTTTCAGATAACCAGAAACAAATGTCAGAAATTTTTATTTATCAGGTTGGGAGATTGGGGTCAAGAAAATCTACCTTTTTTAGAAGCCTCCAAGGCAATTTTGGAATAATGATCAGTTAGAAATTAGTTTAGGCGTTCAGTGTACTAATTGTAATTATTTTTACTTCTTGTTAAGTGGAGGATCTTGGTAAGATTGTTGGAAATGCTTTATTTCATCCCTGGCTGGTGTGGCTCAGTTGGGTAGAGTGTGTCCCATGCATGGAAGGGTCCATACCCAGGTTGCAGGTTCGATCCCCAGTTGGGGTGGCACATATGAGAAGCAACCCATCGATGTTTCTCTCTCCCGCTCCCTTTCTCTCTCTAGAGTCAATGAAACACATTTCCTCTGGTGAGGATTAAAAAAGAAATGCTTCATTTCATTTGTTTAATTTCAGTAACTGTTTATTTAGTACTGATATTTAACTGAGCATTTCACTCATGTTTTACATTATAACCTCCTCCCAATTTATTCAAATTAGTGATGTTACAGTTTGTGGTAAGACAAATCAATTGATTATTTTTTCCATTTTTAATTTAATCGAGACATATGAAATATGGCTTGATTTATTTTGAAATGCTCTGTGGAGCAGTAAGTAGAAAGAAGTCAGTTTCTGGAGCCATATGTAACTGAGCTCCAAAGAGGAGTTGACCGTATTTGCTCCAGATACTTGGAGCAAGTGCTTTAGTCTTTCGGAGGCTCAAAATTCAGTTGGAACAATTGAGATGGAACTTGGAACACCTCTGGAATAAAAATGTTATTAGAAAAGAATAAAAGTCTCTAAGCCACTGCCTAATACATAGCACTTAATCAGTGGTATGATTTGTTAAAGATAATTTTTATACTAAATCTGTTTTATTATATTTATGACAAACATTTTTTCTTCTTTTGTCACTCTAAGCATGACTTTATTTGATAATTATGTTCTTATAAGTACAGTTATAAAAAGAATTATAGTATATACTTTAGGTTCATAAAGATCTCTCCTGATATGAATTATTTAAATTTGTTGTTATTATTTACATTTTAGCTGGAACAATATCTGGGGAGGAGACCCCTATAGTTTCCAAGACTAATATAAAGGACTACAGAGATAGTTTTTCCTATGAAAAATTTAACTTTAGAAGCAATCCTAACATTACATTCTATGTGTACGTCAGCAACTTTTCCTGGCCTATTAAAATACAGGTAAGTGTTAAAATAGCATTAAATCTAGTGACTGTTGAGTATCTGTGTTAGAAAAAGAATATGCCTTCTTTTAAATTGATGATATAGATAGATGTCTGTTTTGAATAATATGAGAAAAGAGTACACTAATGTTTGTGATTATTAAGATCATCATAAAATTTATAAAATAAAATTGACTCAACCAAAGAATGTACTAATTTTTCATGAAATTATGTGCTAAAAATGCATCAAATTTGAAATAACTAGAATATTTGGGTTTTCTGATTAATTGTATACTCTGGAGGTTAAATATTCTTTTCTTACAATCCCATTTGAAATTATTTGCTGTGTTGCCCTGGCTGGTTTGGCTCAGCGGTTAGAGCATCCACCTGCGGTCCGGAGAGACCCGGGTTCAGTTCCCGCTAAGGGTATGTACCTCGGTTGCAGTTTGTCCCCGGCCCTGGTTGGTCGTGCGGGTGGCAGCCACTCCTTGTGTCCCTTTCACATCAATGTTTCCCTCTCTCTCTCTTTTCCTCTCTCTCCCTCCCACTCTATCTGTGCAAAAAATGGAAAAATGTCCTCGGGTGAGGATTACAAAAAAATAAAAAATAAAAATAAATTAAAAAAAAGAAATTATTTGCTGTGTTTAGTTATCCCATTTTTGCTTTATTATATACTGAATGTAATTTAAGTTTTCATGAAAAATTAAGCATTAACAGTATTTAACAGCTAGTTCTTTCAGACCCACTGCCTTTTATTGTCGATCTCTTTATCTCTGCCCTCTGTATGTTGTCTGTTTCATTTTTATTGGGTTCAGTGATAGGCTGCTAACAGCTTCAGATTTACGCCAGGAAACATTTAGGATGTTCTTTCCACCTTGAAATGTTCATGGTTTGAATTCTTACTTTATGCTTTTATGAGAGTAAAGCCTATGCTTTATAATGTTGGGATTTATTCATTTATTCATTCTTTTATGACTGGTTGTTTGATTTGATTGAATTCAAATTAGTTTATTGAATAGCTCATATGTGCCAAATCCTATGCTAGGTCTGTTTCAACATCTTATAAAAATTTACAGATTAGCCCTGGCCAATTTGGCTCAGTGGTAGAGAGTCGGCCCGCAGACCAATGAGTTGTGGGTTTGATTCTGGCCAAGGGCACGTACCTTGGTTATGGTTTGTCCTCGGGCCTGGTCGGGGTTGTGCGGGAGGCATCCAGTTGATGTGTACCTCTCTCATCAGTGTTCCTCTCTCTCTCCCTTTCTCTTCCTCTTTCTCCCTCCCACTCTATCTGAAAATAAATGGAAAAATATCCTCGGGTGAGGATTAAAAAAAAATTTACAGATTATTTCTTTTTCTTTTATATTAATAAATGACAACTTATGATCTGTGTCTACAAATGATTGCATGTTTTATTCATATTAATTTGAATGTATTTTGTGAGAGGACTGATTTTTAGAAATCACGTTTACTGGAAAAATCTTTCTCCTTATATTATGATTGAAGACGACAAAAGGGCTCATCTATAGAGCTTATTAAATAGTAAATAAAACAAGTACAACTTATATTTTTAATTGTTTCATGCCCTTTATGTCTTTGTTATCTAATTATATTTTATTTTTAAGAATATTACATAGTTACTTTAGAATGCTTATGAATATTTAATGGTTAGAAATTAACTTTCTAAATTGGATTTTCTTTTGAGAACATACTAATAATATGTTCTGGATGCCAAACTAGAATTTGTGTAATAAAGTTGAAATATTCCTCTCTCCCAGAATAATAAAATGTGGAAAATAACTGTGATGGTCAAGATAGGTAGAGCTTAGCCCGGGCAGTGTGCCTCACTGGTTGAGCGTCGACCCATGCACCAGGAGGTCGCTGGCCAATTCCGGGTCAGGGCGCATGCCCAGGCTGTGGGCGCGATCCCCGGGGGGGGGCATGCAGGAGGCGGCCAGTCGATGTTCTTGCTCATCACTGTTTTTATCTCTCCCACCACCTTCCTCTCTCTCTAAAATCAATAAAGAAAAAATGTAAAATAAAAAAAAAAAGATAGGTAGAGCTTAATTTCTACTCTTTGATTAAAATCATAATATTAATCATGAGGAATATGTTTTACTAAGGTATATGAGTATGGGTGTTTGTTTATAGGACTGTGATAAACTTTCAATTATTAAACAGAAAATAGTAAAATTATTTCAATTGAGATTTATTTTCTAATAGAAGTTAATTCCATTGATTGATATTTGAATGTTTAACCAACCTTGCTATTCAGGGATAAGATCTACTTCGTTATTTTGTGTTATTGTTTTTATATATCATTGGATTTGATTTGTCATATATTCGTTAAGAACTTTTATGCCCATGTTATTGATGAATACTAGTCTGTAGTGTTCCATTGTATTCTCGTTTGACTTGGTATTGCGGTACTGCCTGCCCTACAAACGAATTGGCGATTGCGGGCTGGACCCCCTGATGCTTCTATCTCTCCCTTCCTCTCTCTCTAAAAAGTCAATAAAAACATATATATATATATATATATATATATATGTATATATATATATATTTTTTAAGTGAATTGGGCAGTAGTCCTCCCTCTGTAATTTTCCGAAAGAATTTGTGTATTATTTCCAAGATAAATTTTCTTAAATTATTTTAGTGGTTATTGTATGGTTTATCACAGACATCTTAAACTTTTCAGTGTCTACCTCCAAGTAATATTACAACACTCATCATTGGAACATTAGCTTGAAGACAGTATACTTTCATTTCCTTTGGTCTTGGTGCCATTGTTGAATACATTTCACTGTTTCATGTATTATAAAATCCACACCACACTTGCTGTTTTTGATATAGTCAACTGTATTTCAAGATATTAAAAATAAGAAATCAACTTCTATTTACCTACATAGTTGCTCTTTTTTGTAGGTCTAGGTTTCCACTGAATATCATTTTTCCTGCTGCCTAATGGATGTCCTTTAACCCTTCAGTGCAAATCCGCTGGCAATTTTATCAGCCCCGATTTCTGAAAGTCTGCATTTCACTTTCATGGGGATTAAAGAATTCCAAATTGTAGCCGTTTAAAAATGTGATTTTAAAGATGTTCTTCACTGTCTTTTGGGTTACATTGTGTCTAATGAGAAATCTACTTTTAACCTTATTGTTTCTTTGTATATAATGGGTCTTTTTCCTCTTTCTGCATTAAAATTTTTCTCCTCTTTATGATTGGTTTTGGCCAATTTGATTATGATGTGCCTAGGTGTGGTTTTCTTCATGTTTTCTTTTTTGTGTATGAGTTTTGTTGAACTTCATAAATTCATAAAATTATAATTTTAATCAAATTTGGAAAACTTTCAGCTATTATGTCTCAAAATTTTGTCCCAGTCCTCTCTTCTCCTTCAGGAATTTCAACTGTATGTATATTAGGCTGCTTGAAATTGTCCCTTGGCTTACTAAGGCTCTGTTTTTATTTTTTAATCCATTATTTTTTTGTTTCATTTTGCATATTTTTTCTATATCTTTATGTTCATTAAGCTTTTTTTTTTTTTTTTATATAGTGTTATAGTAATCCCATCCAGTGTGTTTTGCAACTCAAACATTACATTTTTTTACTTCTAGAATTTTGGTTGTTTTTTTTTTTGAAAATATCTTCCATGTCCCTACTTAATGTGCTCCATCTTTTCTTCTGCCTTCTTAAACATATAGATTCCAGTTACCACAACTCTGAGCGCCATTGTCTACAAATTGCTATCCGTGTATTTTTTGAGTTTCTTTCTATTGTTTAATTTTGTTCCCCCTTATTGGATTATACTTTGATTGGATACCCAACATTCTGAATTTTACCTTTTTGGGTGCTAGATATTCACTAATATTGATGAATTTTATCCTTATTCTGGGATGAAGTTAATTTACTTGGAAAATTTTTGACCTTTTCAAGGCTTACTGTTATGCTTTCTTAGGCAGGAATGAAACAGCATTTAGTCCAGGGTTCAGCATTTCACTCCTAAGCACGGACTTCTTGATACTCTACTCAATGACACATGAGTGACAAGGTTTTACACTCTGACTGGTGGGATCACAAACTGTTCCCGACTCCATGTGAGTTCTGAGAAATTTTCTTTCTGCTCCTTTCAGATCCTTCTTTCCCCAGCCTCTGATCATTTCTGAAGGTATTCACCTCAAGGCTCAAGGGGTACCCTTAGCAAAGCTCTGGAGCACTCTGGGAAGTTCTTTCCTCCCTAGTACACTGTCCAGTCAACTCTAGCCACGCTAGCCCTACCACATTCCCAGCTTCGTCTCTTCAGTCAGGAAGATTTCTGAGATGCACCTGTGCTTCCTGTCCTTTTGATGCAGCCTCAAAATCACAATGATCTGCAGCCTTTACAGGTCACCTCATCCCCCCCCCCCACTCAACAATGATTGTCCCGCATTGTTTGATATCCAGTGTCTGAAAATAAGTGTTTCAGATACTTTGTCTTTTTACTAGTTGTTTAGACATGAAGATGAATGTATTCCCTGTTACTCCATTTTGGGAGGGAATAGAAAATTTACACATAATTTTAAGTCCAAATAGTAAATAGAACAAACATAGTGACCATACGTTTGTTTACCAACTGAGGGGGCTGTTACTGTATATGTGATTTTATGTTTACTTGCAAATTGTTTTATTTAGTAGCTTAGATTTATGCTTCCAAGTACTTCTTAAAAATTCTCACCTGAGGATATTTACCCATTGCTTTTTAGATAGAGTGGAAGGGAAAGGGGGGGGGGAGAGAAACGACGATTGGTTGCCTTCTGCAGGACCCCACCCAAGGCTGGGGATCAAACCTGCAACCCAGGCATGTGCCCTTAGCCGGGAATTGAACCCAAAACCCTTCAGTCTGTGGGCAGATGCTCTAACCGCTGAGCCAAACTGACCAGGGCCCAAGTACTTTTCAGATAAATGGTAGTTAGGTCGCAGACATATTTCTATATATTTAGATTTCATAAAGACATTCCATTGCAGATGCCAGCAAGCTGCCA